CCACAGTATTATTTGTCCCTTTCTTCGTAGAATTGTTTATATCTAAAAAAGTTATTAAACAATCTTACTATATTTTTGTAGTTTTGAGTGATATTACCCTTTATATTTAAACAAGTCACATTAGTAGAAGCTTGGCTATTTCCAGTCATGTTTTTTATAATTTTCCAGGTTGTTTCTGATTTATTATTGGAAATTCTTATGACTTTGTTCAGATAGAACTTTTTTGCTGTTGGGATAACTCTACTTACTATCTTGCAATACATTTTATAGTGTTCTTCTAATCTAGAATCATTATTGCTCTTAATTTTTATAAGAGCTCCCTTTTTTATTACATGATTTTATAATTCCTGGGGTTATCCATGATTTATTAGCACCTGTACTTTGTGATCCAAAAACATGAATTTAGAATCCTAAGGTAAGTATTTAAAAATTTATTAAACATTGTATCCACATCACTATCTACAAAAATATCATCCCATAATTCATAGCTTAGATTAATTTGGAAGTCTAATAGAGGATTCGTTGATGACCCTACGGGTATACCTGATTTTGCTTCATTATATATGTAACACTGTATATTATAATGATCTCCCCATCGTGATCAGATAATCCATTTTCCCATGGAAGAACACTGAAACTTTTGTTTTTATATTTGTTAATAAAAATATTATCTATTGCTGTGGATGAGTTAGGGCAAATCCTAGTCTGAAATGTAACTGTACTGTATAGCCCGTATGAAGCTAGTAGCGAATCCAGTTCTTGTAATATGTGGATTTAGATTGCCCCAAATCCTGCAATTGTACCTGTTTACAACTCCACTGAAATGGAATGTCACCTCATCTGAGAAGCACACTTGGTGGAGGAAATCAGGTGACACATTAATTCTTTCTAGCATTTCCACAGTGAAGTTTGTGCATGCTACTTGGTCACTCAGTTTGAGGGCATGAATCATTTGAATCTTGTACGCCCTTAGGTGGAGCCTTTTGTGTATCACATTGTGCACTGTTGAACATGGAATCTGTATGTAATTGCAAGCTAGCAGCACAAACTGATTTGCATGGAGTTCACTGGAATGCTTCTCCAATGAGATTGACATTGTCTTCAGAGGTCTGTGTCTTTCCGGGAGATTTTACATGCAACAGACTATCTGTAGTCCTCAGTTTGTTGTCCCAGAACCGAATGCTTTTATGTGTAGGAGGCTGACGTCCAAATTACGTTGGACAGCTGTAAGAGATTGCAACTCTGCTAGCCACAACATGCATCGAACATGTTTCTATGGTGTTGAAATCATTACTGAGCTTGCCAAAGGTCACCAGCTGGCACATGCACAAAAGATGGGCATGAAAAAAAAACTTTCAGAGTTTTCCTTTCCGATGATATAAACTGGATATATGTGTGGCAATTAGTTTCTGAGATACAATTTTGTTTTATTTTGGATACTTTCCCTCCAGACACCCAGTACAGCCGATCTTGTAAGAGTGACAATAGTTTAAATGGCTCTTCTACAGACTAGACAAATATAGGATCACTATCACAGCCTACCTTATAAGGGACCGTCTGACTAGGTACCTATGGTGTCATGTTTCTCCAAACATGACAGACAGCCTTGAACTAAGGGTATAGGATTGTTGGTAGGCAGGTTACATAAAAAAGCAACAATGCTAATTTTGCCCATAACAAGTTTACACCAAGACTTGTAAGTTTACTGGTGAAATCACAAAGGGGAAAGCTAGTGAAAATATAAAAATCAAAATAATAACAGCACCTATGATAAGTTATTGTAGAGTGAAGAAAACAATGGAACATTAATAAAAAGGTAATTAATGAGCAACATGATAAGGAAATTAAAAAAGTGTTGGAAAATGACATAACAAACACACTACTGTGAAATGTTACTAAATTTTTTACATGAGAAACATGAAAGAAAAATGTCACAAGACATTTAAACTATGAAACAGAAATTTGAATCACTGAAGAAATGTACCATTAAAACAGAAGATACAAAAGAAAATATGTGTATTATGATGACAAGGATTTGAATGTGGATATGAATGAGGAATGCAATAACGAAGACTAGGATAGAGAATGAAGTTGATGTGAACAACAACAACAATGACAACAGAGGGGATGACAATCCTGACATGTACACTGAAGATTTCATTTACAAATGCATAATAAATTCAGTATAAATATATATTTGCTTAATCTACACAAGGAATGTAAATGATATACACATAATTCTTGCATTAAAATAACACTTTAGTTGGTTGATGGGCTATGCTACAAGGTGGAAGGTCAGGGGGGTCAAGTCCTGATGAGGTCACTGGATTTTTTCAATTGACCTAATCCTTCCAGCCACACTATGGCCCTGGGGTTTACTCAGCCTCTAACAGAAATGAGTACCAGGAAATAATTAAATAATTTTCCTGGGGAGGAAAGCGCGGCTGGCGCATAAGGCTGACAACCTTACCGCCATCTTTGAGCTGACTGTCTAGATAATGTGGGACCCTCAACATCTCACAACCCTCTCGGTCTTCACGGGCTGTTACAGGGATAGCTTTATTTATACTTACTTTACTTTACTTTATATAAAATTCTGTATTCACCATTCTGATACACAATTATTATTATTATTATTATTATTATGCTAACATATTCTTTGTAGATGTTTAATCATATGCTTTATTGAAATAAGTTACATTATAGTAGTGAATTATATTTTGCATACAATCAATTCTGTACATTCTCTGTAACAGTTTTGAAGAATATTAGCTTCCACAGGAATTGAGCTACCTAAGACTTACTTCTATATAAAGGGATAAACAACTTTTATCGATCTTTGCTAATTTCAGCTAATAATTCTGAACCAGATGTGAATATCCCTTCGAAATACTGTGTGAACAAACGACACATGTACTCTTCATGAAGAACAGGAAGAATTCCTTCCAGGAAACCAATGTGACCTCCATATTGTGTTATCACAATAGCGACATACTTGGACTTACATGCTTCTTCCACAGGGATTGCTGAAAAAAAGTGCTCATAATATAAAATAAGAACTATGAAAATTAATGTGATATAAAACACAGTTTTCAAAATGTACAATTTTTAATTCAAACATTCTTAATATAAAAACAATTTCTGACTGCATGGTGTGATGTTCATAGTGAAATTAGTTCCACACTAGATGTGTATCTGCAATAAATGATCATTAACGTGAATGAGTTAAGCAAGTTACTAAGGAATATGTTTGGAAAGTTTGTTACTCCATAAAAGTACATTTTCCAGTTACTAATTCTCAAGACACACAGAGCAGTTACCTTCATACGGCTGAAAAGGATCATCTCTTGCGCTGAGACACAGAATGGGAACTTCTATTTTATGCAATTTTTCGTGGATACTAGCATCAGCATAATAGTCATTGACATCCTTATATCCAAACTGCTTTGCTGTGTATGAGGAATCAAACTCACGAACGGTCTTACACTGTACAGGCATAAAGCATAATATAAGTTGCACTAATTAGTTTCAGAATTGCTAAGGGGGGAGAAAACCTAAAATTATAGCTTCTGGAGAAACAACACCAATTAGAGAAAAAGATATATATATTATCAACGAGATACTGAACAAATTAATACTGTGGCATATTTGATCCATGCAATATGGTTGAGCCACAGAAACAGTCACGCTAAGTAATGCATGCAACAACAGAACAACGGGGTTATGCAACCCATTTCTAGGCAACGGCTCAGTGAAAATCAAATAAAAATACTAAAATACCTTTACCTTTAATAGATCTTCCATGGTCCAAGGTCCTTGTAACATATTGCTCGATTTCACCCTAGAACATTTATCACAGACATCATATACCAACTGAACACCTGAGCAAAAACAAAAGGCAAATAAGTAACATCTCGCTTGAAATATAAACTATGTGGAACTGCATGGTGAACAACACACCAGCTTTCGTTCCTGTATACAGGTTCACTGGCATTCAGTACATACATATTCAAAGGCAACGGTTACTTCAGAAGAGCAGGATATGTGCTTGCCATACAGAACTGTAAACATCACAAAAAACATATCCTTACAGAAGAAACAGAATCAGACAGATGCTTATGGTGTACACAAAACCCAGAAACAACACACCACATTACACATGGATGCAATCGTAAGCTGCCACAAAATAAACAAGACATAACACATATAAGCAAATCCATAACAGCTTGCACTAACATTCCAGAATGATACATACCAAATCACAAGTACTTCTTGACCTCAGCCCCAGACGGAGATGGTAAGTCTAAAAGTTTTAGCAATGATTTATTTCAAAGCTTGTTGTGTTTGCTGCACTGATTATTTTCCATGAAGGTAGAAGCAAAACTCCCTACATGACTGTGAAATACTTCTGATATTGGCCAGCCAGGTGTAGTGTTGTTGTGGCAGAGTTAACATGACCACTCCACTTTCCACATGCACCAAAGTGGAGCAGCATGCAGTGATACAATTTTTGTGGGCTGAAGGTGTACCAGGGGGCAGAAATCCATTGCAGACTTTCAGCACTATACAGAAATAGTGCTTTACTGCACTGAAGAGTGTACGAACACACAATCGTGGTTACAAAAGGCCACAAAAGTGTCACCAATGAAGAGAAATCAGGATAAATGATATGTAATTATCAATGACTTAGTGCAACATCTGCACATCAGTGCTGGTTCTGTTCACAGGATCATCTGAGAATGACTTAGGATTCATGAAGTTTGTACAAGGTTGGTTCCAAAACAATTCATAGGAGAGCACAAGCACAACCATCTGACAATCTACCAAGGACTCCTGAACTGCCATCATAACGAAGGCGACACTTTTTTGAGACAAACTGTCACTTGGGATGAGGTGTGGATCCACCACTGCACTCCAGAATGCTAACACCAAGTACAGAATGGAAACATTCGACATCTCCGGAGAGAAAGTAGTTCCAAACTCAACCATTGGTGGGAAAAGTGATGCTGCACTTTTTAGGGATGCTTTTGGAACACTAGAAAAAAGGGGGATAAAAGTAAACAGTGTATATTATAGCAAAATGCTAACAGACCAGTTAAAATCAGTTATGAGAACCAAATGCCAAGGACTATTGTCAAAAGGTGTCAAAATATTGCATGATATTGCCCGTCTGCACACTGCTGCCCACACAGTTGAAAGCCTCCATCAACTGAACTCCGAGGTGCTGAAGCATCCTCTGTATGGTCCTGATCTGGCTCCTTCTGGCTATGACCTCTTTGGAACACTCAAGACGTTTTGAGAGGCTGCCATTTTGCTAGGATCAAGAAGTGAAAGAAGCAGTGTATGCATGGCTTGTCAATTAACAGAAAACATTCTTTCTGAGGGCATACAGAAGCTTGTGGATTGCTGGACTAAGAACAGGGACTATATAGAAAATTATGCTTTGGCACTTCCTCGTTTTAATTGTGTTATTTAATGAACCATGAACTGCAGATGTTACTAAGCAAGTTGATCTAGTGATAATGCCCTGTACTTGTATTCAGATGTCACCTGGAACCCTGGCTTCTCTGGTCCCTCCATGATGTGCTACCAGGGCAACACTCCCTTACACCCCAACAAAAATCTAAGTAACATGCATTCTTTGAGCAAGACTGTACAATTGCTCATACAGAAAATACTTCACTGACCACCTTCTGAAACACATTTTGTGACCTAATAATTAATAGGCTTTTCTTGCTCCCCTGTTCACCTGATCTGATCTATGGTTACTGGTATTACCAGTTTGAAAGACATGTTTTACAAAAACAATCCACATACGGAGGAAGAACTTAAAAGAAAACATCAAGCAGGCAGTATCATTCTCTCTGTAACAAGAACTCCAAAAAAGTTTCCAGTAACATATTCACCAGGTATTCACCAGTCTGAGAGACTGAAGAGGTAGAACCTGCTGCTAACACGTTATACAAGTATCCAGAGTACATATTAATATAGATATTACCAGTTAATTGCAATTCAACAACATGCTGTCATGGCAGGTTTCACAAAAATGGGAAACTGTATTTACTCTAAGGCATACAATATATCCCATGTTCATCAATCACATCCGGGTCATTCCACGTGAAATCATCCAGAGAGGTCGCTCACCATTTTTAAAAAAAATTCAAATTTGTACACTTATTTCTACATATTTTCACACCTCAAAAAAAATGTTAAAAAAATTGTGATCCGCTCGGCTTTCCCGGCACAGCCGTTTTTATAATGCGAAAAAACGCGTTTTCGGCTCAAATGGAGGTTTGCGTTATCTTCTGTATCTCGATAACTACTGAAGCTAGAGACTCCAATGAAAAACCAATTTGTTCCTCATGATATGGACAACAAATCATATGATCACAAGATTTTACTCAATTCACTTTCTCTAGGTGTAATTAAGCTTGAAACTTACCTATCGATTTTGGGAAAAACGCTATATTTGACCTTCAGAAACCAATGGGAGGGGGAAAGTATCAGATCTGTGGTTTCTACCCTTTGTTTTCTCCTACATTAAGAATATAATCACCTATTTTCCAAAATTTTCCAGGAGCTTCCAAACTTTGCTCTGGGCCCCAAATCGGCCATGTTTAACATCTCATATCTCCAGTGGGGAAGCTCCGAAAAATGTCAAACTCATAGCAAATAATGCTCTATTCAAGAGTNCTTCCAAACTTTGCTCTGGGCCCAAAATCGGCCATTTTTAACATCTCATATCTCCGGTGGGGAAGCTCCGAAAATTTTGAAATTAATAGCAAATAGTGCACTATTCTAGAGCAGCTTGAAATTAAAATTACAACTTTTATATTCAACTACTAGCGAAGTTTTGGGCACTTTGAATTTTACCAAAAAAAAAAAAACAATATCTCAACAATTGGCTTACCTGCATCAAATGTTATTAGTTCTTTGTGTACTCCGATGAATATTTTCCACTTTGTTTGAAAGTACACGTGGTTCAGTAAGTGTCCACTATCACGATGTCTTCGAAACCATCGGACTTGGATGTTTAATAACACCTGACCCTGTTTTCCTCCAGATGGACGACCCGGTGATTTTCTCTTGTGTGGAGCACAGTTTTGCACTTTTGGAACATGCTTTTTAGAATGATTTCATTTCTTGCAACTTCCTCTTTTGGCACAAAAAAGTAAACTATTCCTGGGATATTTTCTGTGCAGAATATTTACAGTTCTAGCGGGCACATGGTTTGATTAAAATGAGTTCTCTGAAGACTGGCTTTCACTGCTTGCCTCTTCGTGGTGCTGCCAATACCGTCACAGGCATTCTTCCCGTGCGGGGTGGCAAAGAAGTTCCAGTCTGCTTCAAGTCCGAAGTCTTCATAGTGATAAATTAAATTGGAAAGATTCTTTTGTTTTTATATTGGCTTCCAACCCCATCACTGAAATAAATAACTTTCCTGACTGAAGGCACATTTTCTTTTATATCAGCGATAAGAAATTTTTGGAACACAAACTGTGGCTCTATCGTGCTTTACATGATCATTGATTATACACAAGCTTGGGCATTTTGTTATAGTGTCCGCCTTGTAGAAATACACAAAAGTGTGAAGTGTAGCCTGTTGATTTACCCAGTGGAACCTTTGAATCTCGTCTTGAACGAGAAACGAACAATTTTCTGCAAAATCTATAAAACTTAAAGTGCCCACAACTTCGCTAATACTTAAATATCAAAGTTGTAATTTTAACTCCAAGTTACTCTAGAATAGAGAATTATTTGATATGAATTTTTCGAAGCTTCTCCACCGGAGATATGAGATGTTAAAAATGGCCGATTTGGGGCCCAGAGCAAAGTTTGAAAACTCCTGGAAAATTTTGGAAAATAGGTACGGTGTTCAAAATTATGTGATTATATTCTTCATGTAGGAGAAATCAAAGGGTAAAAACCACAGATCTGATACTTTCGCCCTCCCATTGGTTTCTGAAGGTCAAAAATAGCGTTTTTCCCAAAATCGATAGGTAAGTTTCAAGCTTAATTACACCTAGAGAAAGTGAATTGAGTAAAATCTTGTGATCGTATGATTTGTTGTCCATATCATGAGGAACAAATAGGTTTTTCATTGGAGTCTCTAGCTTCAATAGTTATCGAGATACAGAAGATAACGCAAACCTCCATTTGAGCCAAAAACGCGTTTTTTCGCATTACAGAAACTTCGCTATTAGTTGACTATAAAAGTTGTAATTTTAATTTGGAGTTCCTCTAGAATAGTGCACTATTTTCTATGAATTTCAACATTTTCGGAGCTTCTCCACCGAAGATATGAATGTTAAAAATGGCCGATTTTGGGCCCAGAGCAAAGTTTGGAAGCTCCTGGAAAATTTTAGAAAATAGGTATGGTATTCAAAACTATGGTGATTATATTCTTCATGTAGGAGAAAACAAAGGGTAGAAACCACAGATCTGATACTTTCCCCTCCCATTGGTTTTTGAAGGTGAAAAATAGCGTTTTTCCCAAAATCGATAGGTAAGTTTCGAGCTTAATTAGACCTAGAGGAAGTGAGTTGAGTGAAACCTTGTAATGATTTGATTTATAGTCCATATCATGAGGAACAAGTTGGTTTCTATTAGAGTCTCTAGCTTCAATAGTTATCAAGATATGGGAGATAACGCAAACCTCCATTTCAGGCGAAAACGCGTTTTTTGCATTATAGAAACTTCACTATTAGTTGAGTATCAGAGTTGTAATTTTAACTCCACGTTACTCTTGAATAGAGCATTATTTGCTATGAGTTTGACATTTTTCGGAGCTTCCCCACTGGAGATATGAGATGTTAAACATGGCCGATTTGGGGCCCAGAGCAAAGTTTGGAAGCTCCTGGAAAATTTTGGAAAATAGGTGATTATGTTCTTAATGTAGGAGAAAACAAAGGGTAGAAACCACAGATCTGATACTTTCCCCCTCCCATTGGTTTCTGAAGGTCAAATATAGCGTTTTTCCCAAAATCGATAGATAAGTTTCAAGCTTAATTACACCTAGAGAAAGGGAATTGAGTAAAATCTTGTGGTCACATGATTTGTTGTCCATATCATGAGGAACAAATTGGTTTTTCATTGGGGTCTCTAGCTTCAATAGTTATCGAGATACAGAAGATAACGCAAACCTCCATTTGAGCCGAAAACGCGTTTTTTCGCATTATAAAACGGCTGTACCGGGAGACCCGAGCGGATCACAATTTTTTTAACATTTTTTTGAGGTGTGAAAATATGTAGAAATAAGTGTACAAATTTTGAATTTTTTTAAAAATGGTGAGCGATCTTTCTGGATGATTTCACATGGAATGACCCATCCACTTGCAATGGAGAATTAATAGTTCTGATGCCTACAATAATCATATACGTAAAAGCCAATCTGATGTTCGTGTATATACAGGATCTATTTACTTTCAGTGTTTTCCAGATTGCATTGTCTAACAACACTCATGCATTTTTCAAAAACATGTATCAATTTTCACAAATTTGTAACCATGAAAGCTTTTAAGCAATACTGGTTTGAACTGTTTAATCCTCTGAAGCCCAGTGGTTACCATATGAATCACCTGCTTTAACCTAATAATAGTGTGCATTTCTGTCCAGAGAGTATTTCTGCATTGTGTATGGTTTCCATATTAAACGGCAATTGCTTCCCTACACAGCATTAACTGGTTGATCTTTGTAACAGAGATATAATGTATTTCCTGTGAGATACAAATTTAACTTGTATATATTATTTAGAATACATTGAGTCTTTTAAGGGTTAATGTAAAGAAGACAGAGGGAGGAAGGAGGCTTTCAATCAAGTTCCTTACTTGAATTGGAATTAAATTTGCACAAAAAAAGAAAACAGAAGGCAGAAATCAAAAGGATGAGGAATAAAAACTGGAGAAAGGGATAAAGGAAAGGGGGTGGGGGTGAGGGATGAAGATATGAAGGAAATTATTTTTCCTTGAGAAACAAAACCTGCACATAAAAACTTGTCCATCCAAGAAACTTTGATAGTGCCATGAAATTCCATATAACTTCCAGTGATTTGACTCTTAAATTATATCTGTTTGTAGCTGATGCAGTGTAAAAAAATTCTATATTCAGAAAATACTTTTTGTATATCTGTACGACAGGGTCACCTGTGCAAGTGGTGAAAGGTCACACCTACCTTATGTAAGCATGTCTCACCTTTGCACTGGTGTTTAAAACTTCAGGTTATCATTAAACTCTATTTGATATGTAAAAAACATCAATATAGTTTACAGAACAGATGAAGCAGACATTTTCTGTTGAATTTTTAATGAGCACTATAATTTATAATATTATGACTACCAATTATTCATACCTATTAATGAAACTGAAAAATCCAGATGTAAGATATCGGTTCAACAATAAGTTAAGAACTGGCTTCTCAAGACTATCCATTGCTTTAAAAGCATTCCAAGGTGTTGATATCACCATGGCAGCTACAAGTGTCTTCTGTGCTGCCATCTTCTGTGATGCCAGGTAGTTTCCCAATACCAGTCTAGAAACCAAAGCAAATTATACAAAATTTGAGTTTTTCATGGCAGTAGAGATTCATACTGTGGACATCTGGGTGGTTTACCCTGATGATGGAGGCAGTATATTCGTCTGAAATATTAGTACCCACCCACCAGACTACCCAGTTGTCATAACACAGAAGACCACAATATGAACAAATACATTAATTAGGCTCAGTTAAGTGCCAGTTGAGGAGAGTGGTCGCTTGGATGAAGAGATTATGGCTACCAATGTTAAAAACAAAGTTATAGATGAGACAACAACATTCATATGGATCTGCAAAAGAATCATGTCATAAGGATGCAAAAAGGACTGACCTGGGCCATAACATGGTGAATTCTTGTGACGAATTTATGCATTCAATAATGACATAAAATTAACAGGTGAATGACACTGACCATGCTCAGTAGACTGCACCAGAAAGTATGAAACTTGATCTCTCACCCTAATGGGAAAAATTACTGAGGGTCTTTGAGAACAGAACACTGGACACAAGAGAGAGGAAGTAACAGGAGCACTGGGGAGAATGTTTGGACACAAGAGAGAGTAAGTAACAGGAGCACTGAGGAGAATGTCTGGACACAAGAGAGAGGAAGTAACAGGAGCAGAGGAGAATGTCTGGACACAAGAGAGAGGAAGTAACAGGAGCACTGAGGAGAATGTCTGGACACAAGAGAGAGGAAGTAACAGGAGCACTGAGGAGAATGTCTGGATACAAGAGAAAGGAAGTAACAGCAGACTGCAGAGAACAATGTAGCCAGGAACTTCATAATTTTTACTCTTCACCAACTATTACTTAGGTCAGTGTTCCGCAACCGGTGTGCCGTCACAAGGTGAAAGGTGTGACGCGAACTTTTACTTGTAAGAAATTAATTGTCGAATTTTATTCGTTTTATTTTATCCCAGTTACCGTGTTTCATATGCTTGTATTTTATTCTCAGATACTGCACTGATTAAATAAGATGATGCTTGTTTATTCTTTATTACATGCTGTGATTTTTTATGTACATTAATGTTGTATTCTAAGAAATTAAATGTAAATTTTTACTCACAGTTGTTGTTATATCATAGTTTATATTATTGATTTTTTATTTTTCCCACATCTACGAGGCTTCTTTGATATACTTGTCGCATGTTCTGTGTACATGCTTTTCCCTAAAACTGCGGGAATTAGCAAGGGTTGCCCTGTCTTTTTTATGCTGTTTTGGTGTTTGCCCCTGTTTGTTAGAAGTTAGAGCTTCTTCAACTTCATGACTTTCTGCCTATAACGATGCACCCACCGATTGTTGGACTTCATTTAAAATTACAAATATTTAAAAAATAAGTAGGTACGTATATGTGCCACTTCTTCCGTTTGAAGAATAGAGGTCCCACATCTTACAACTGTTTCAGTTCGATCACAGCTGTGCTCTGAAGTACTTCGAAAATTGTGGTTGCTAGTTAGTCTTGCTGCCGGTCACAGTAGCCGAGTGGTCTAAGGCATGCACTGTCTTCACTCACTCGGAAGCCGGGATCATGAGTTCGAATCCCACTCAGGGCATGGATGTTGGTGTGCGTTTTTTTGTGTTTGTCTACAGGTAGGGGCCTTGCGACGAGCTGATCACTTGCCCAAGGAGTCCTACCATATGTGTTAGATCTAGAAAAACCAAAGTGAACAGAGAAGTTCATGGAGGTAGGCCTAGGGCCACTGGGGCTGTAGTGCCAAGGGGGAAAAAAAAGTTAGTCTTGCTATTTTCTATTACTATTAGACTACTTTACTTTTTCAAGATGGATAAATTCCCATGGATCAGTCGCCTGTGTGCAGCTACGCAGTCACAAGTATCACATTGAAGGTATGAGTAGAATTACTGTATTTACTTTAAAAGTAATAGAAGTGTATTTTCTACACTCTACATTAACTGTTAATAAATGCACAAGTCGATTTCTGTTTAATGATAATAAAATAACAACATAATATAATAATGTGATCACGTTACGTATTTATATTAATTGTCTGATATCATGCGTTTTTGAGGGGAATAACATTTTGGTGCGCCGTGTTGTCTCATGGATACTTCATGGTGTGCTGTGAGTACAAAAAGGTTGCGGAACACTGACTTACGTGGTCAAATGAAGTAGGATGTAATGGGCAAAAGATGCAGCATGCATGGGACATATGACAAGTCAATACAAAACATACCTTCAAAACTGTAAAATGAGGAGACAACGTGTGCACCTTAGAGTAATGAGTAATATTAACCCTTTGCATGCCACAAGCCAGTTGGAGTGGCTCAGCATACTGCATTAAAACCAAAACTGTCACAGTTGTAAAGATTGGCTCAGTGTTAATCACTTAGTACAACAGTTCTATCAATAGGTGGCATTAAGTGTTACATACCAATGTTAAAGAGAAGAACAGATTTTCAAGCTATCTATACCTGGGGACACTTGAAGGTAATCTGAGGAAGTACTGTGAAATTTCCATGAAACTGCATTTATATCCAAGCAGCACTGACATTTCTAATAAGCAGTTCTATGGTGGGCGCTTGGAAATCACAGGGTTGAATTCAATATTAAAGAAACTGGGTGCCATGGCTATAGGCTGTGTTCATCTGGGCCTGAATCGAGTCATAACAAACATTTAGTTCAATAAAAGGCAAGCTTCTTGATCATCTGAGTAACTTTCAGCTTCTCAAAAAGAACTCATCTGAGAGCTGCCCAACTCTTATGGAATCTTCTTGCCACATGTTTGTGCTAGCACTTAGCTGATGCATATGTCACGACAAAGTACGCACTCAACATAAGAAGTGAACTTAATGGTTAGAAACAAATATGTTAATACCAAGAGACTAGATCAGTTAGTAAGATTAAAAGTTCGTGACGATGATACATTAATACAAATATTATGTTTTGAGACATTATCCATCGTCTTGTCTTTAACTAAAAACCGTCCTGTTTATTTTTCAAAACATGTTTCGGAGACTGAATTCTGTCTCTGTCTTCAGGTAAAACCTACCCAGTTGGGCCCAATCAATACAGCTTGTTCGGAGATAGGGGCTAGCTCTATCAATTACAACAATTACAGACTGAGGAGCAGGATTGAAAGGTTTTCTGCAAAATATATTTCAAAACAGTCCCCATCCATCTTTACATGTGCATCAGTAGTATCCTTTTTTTACATATGACCAGGGTTCAATCCCAGCAGGGGCAAGAAATACTTCCCTTCTCCATGGCATCCAGACTGGTCCTGGGGTCCACCCAGCCTCCTATCCAATGGGTATCAGAGGTGCTTTCACAGGGGAGTAAAGTGGCAGGGGCATGAAGCTGACCACTCACCTCTATCTTGTGCCAAGGCGAAGAATGGTGGAGCTGTACATCAACTCCCCACATGCCTTCATGGCTTAGTACTTAATTATGTAATTAAGTACAGGGGAAACTTTTACCATAATTTTACATTTGGCAAAAATCCCTTTTCATTGGTGGCATGCACTACTGCAAATTATGGTCCATAACCTGCAGGAGTCTTTAACCCAGTGGAAATTTTGCCAAGAAAGCATACCTCAGAGGTGTAACTCTTCACACTAAATGATTCTGAAATTAAATTAAAATGCAACACAGGAGACCCTAGAAGAGAAACTCGGTGCAATTGAAGGTGAAAGCGGAAATGCTGAATTGCAGTGGAACAACATAAAAGAATGCATGTTAGATACTATACACGAATTGGTTGGTAAAGTTGAGAAGATAGCAAGAAAACCATGGGTTACACAGGAGATGATGAGTAAAATGGAGGAGCGAAGGAAATGGAAGAATGTCAACAATGAAGAAGGCAGGAGGAAATACAGGAGACTGAGGAATGTATTGAAAAGAGCCACGGACAGGGCCAAAAAGGAATATCTTGAGAAGATATGAAATGAAATTATAGAATGTTATATTTTAGCATCTTGTTGCACTGATTTATGTCCATGACTTATTCCAGCTGTCTTACAGTGCATATACTCATCCACCTCACTCTTCACTCCTGCACTACATGTTTCGGCACAAAGCTGCCATCTTCAGGTGCTTTTCGATTTATGTTAAACTACTTCACTGCATTCCCTGCCGTCTTCATACTAAAATAACTAAAATATATGTTCATCATATATATTGATAAATATTAAATATTAAAAATAATAAAAATATTAAAACTGTTCAGGATTTTTTATCCCTACGTCGCATCTCAATACGCGAGTCACACCTATCCTCTTCTATCGGAGCACTCTTCCTACTTTCATGTGTGTATTGTGCTTTGTGTTGT